CCTTTCAAGCAAAAATATTTATAATATTATAATACTATATTAGTTGTATTTTACTATGAAGGTGAAGCTCCTACCACATTGAATCATCAACACTAGTCCTGTGTCCTGGGAGAAAAATTAGAGGAAATAATAAAAATTATTTTTGGGGCCTGGTACGGTGGCTCACACCTATAATCCCAGCACTTTGTGAGGCCAAAGCAGGTGGATCGCCTGAGGTAAGGAGTTGGAGACCAGCCTGGCCGACATGATGGAACCCCATCTCTGCTAAAAATACAAAAATTAGCCATGTATAGTGGTTCATGCCTGTAGTCCCAGCTACTCGTGAGACTAAGGCATGAGAATTGCTTCAACCTGGGAGGCAAAGGTTGCAGTGAGCTGAGATTACGCCACTGCACTCCAACCTGGACAACAGATGAGACTCCATCTCAAAATAATATTAATAATTTTTTGAAAGTCACCGAAGGCAGGTGCAATGGCTCACACCTGTAATCCCAGTATTTTGGGAGGCTGAGGCGGAGGACTGCTTCAGCCCAGGAGTTCAAGACCAGCGTCTCTTTTTGATAAGATAAAATTTTAAAAAATATCATAGAGCCAGTTGAAATTTCAACAAAGGAAGTTATCTAAATTCATCTCTCATGTAGTTTATCAAAAATAACTGTCCATACATTTATTATATTTTAGGATTACTTAATATAAAAAATTTCTTTAAAACACTAAGGATGAAATATGAAGTATAAAGAAAGCTTTCCTTTTCTTTCTCTTAGAAAATGAAAATAAAGTCTAAAAAATGCTAAAGATAAAAGCAACAGGGTAGAGTGGAGGGGAAGAATCAACAAATAAAATTTAAAAAAAACAAAGTTAATGAAAATATGAACCAAAGATTAATATGACTTTCCAAGATGTGCACTGGCAAAGCGTCCTGTGTGAACTAAATCTTAAGGATTTACTAACAATATATTTGGAAATACTGGATAGAAATAAAAACATCTATTGGTACTTGCTACTGCTACAACTGGTCATTTCTTTAAAAACAATTTTTTATAGCTCATTCTACCGTATTCTTTTCAATATTTCTATAAGTCCTTACCTTTCAGAGGAATAAACACTAAAATATTACATTGGATCACATATTGTTTTCTGCTAGAAGAATGTTGATTGTTCATTTTAAAGACAGCCTCTATAATTGGTATAAACTTTCCAGTTAATTATAATCACTTTTTTCATTAAACATCATTATTTCTTCTGTATCTTGATACATATAAAAGTACTGAGCTAATGGGCCAGGCGCGGTGGCTCAAGCCTGTAATCCCAGCACTTTGGGAGGCCAAGGCGGGTGGATCACGAGGGCAAGATTGAGACCATCCTGGTCAACACTGGTGAAACCTCGTCTCTACCAAAAATACAAAAAAAAAATTAGCTGGGCATGGTGGAGCGCGCCTGTAATCCCAGCTACTCAGGGGGCTGAGGCAGGAGAATTGCTTGAACCCAGGAGGCGGAGGTTGCGGTGAGCTGAGATCTTGCCACTGCACTCCAGCCTGGGTAACAAGAGCGAAACTCCGTCTCAAAAAAAAAAAAAAAAAAAGTACTGAGCTACTATAATACAATATGTTTAACCTTATTTGTAGCATATAAACGGAGGGCTCTGTGTTGTCTAGCAAGAATACTTCTATTTTTGAGTACAAAAATTAGTCCTATCTAAATGAGCCTTAAAATAGATTTTTAAAAAAAATACTTGAGAACCTTGAAGGTGTTTGTCTATTTTACTGCTACATGTACAAGTCGATCAGAAGTGACACCTGTACAGACTCTGCCCTGAAAAGAATCAGTACCATAGCTTTACTGTTGTAGTTTAGACTTGGGAACGGCTGACATTATCAGCTATGGGGCAACACAGGCGCAGTTTTCAAAACCAGACTCCCCTGCTGTCTAATACCTGCATCTGAGGGCAACACGGTGAGCGGGACATCTTTGGTTTCAATTTTTACAGAAGGCTCCAGTAGGGACTGCATTTTAATAGGCACTGGTGTCAGGGGGACCTTGGTCAATCTTATCAGCTCTGAAGGCGGAGCTCCCTGAAACTGGATTCGGGCCCCGGGCGAAACGGTGTGGAGAGTCAAAGGGATCCTCAGGTCTTGCTGGTGAGGCCCAAAGGCACCGGACGGCGGGGCCAGGATGACCTCCGCGCTGCCATGAACCAGGCCATTGGACGCGGGCTCGGCGCGGAGCCTGCAGTCCTCCAGGAGTCTCTCGGGTTCCTCCGTTTTGATGACTCCTTCTAGGGTGGCCGCCGGGCTTTTGCCTTCCCCGCCTTGCCTCGCGTCCCGCATGACCTCCGCCTCCAGCTTGCCCTTCTCGTTCCCTCGGAAGTAGTCGAGGGCGGGCCCGGGGCCTTCCACCTTGACCGCCCTGGAGGCTCTAGGGCCGGTCTCCACCGCCCCCTGAGGCCCCACGGACGGGTCCAGGCCAGGCCCCAGCTCCTGCTTCTCGGCCTTGACATGCAGCACCCGCGGCTGCACCGGGTGCAAGTCGGGCCTGAAGGGGGCGCCCTCGGACGCGGCCGGCGACGGCAGGAGCAGCAGGTCGGGCCTAAACTGCAGCAGTCGCGCCTGCGCGGGCGAGGCAGCGGCGTCTTCGTCTCCGGCCTGAGGCTGTGGTAACAGCAACACCTGCTCCGGGTTCACCTGCACCAGCCGCCGCGCCGCTGACTGTAAGCCGGCCGACGCGGCCTCCCCGCACGAGGAAGCCAGCGTCGCAATGGCGGCCACGCCCGGTGTGGGCGGCGACGGAGGGGGCTCCCCGGCCGCTGCCCAAAAGGAGGCACCCTCGACCGGCAGCGGGGGCGGAGCGGGACGCAACGGGCGCGGTGGAGGAACCCGCGGCAGTTGGCGCGGCTGAGGCGGCGGCTCCGGCCTGGCCCTCTCCATGGGGGAGGGGGACGCCCCGGCCTAGCCCCGGCCGGGATTGTGAGCTCAGCCGTTTGTTGGCGACCTTCCCACTCCCACTTTCGGTTAAGACCCTTCGAAGGCCTTTGCTACCCAGAACCCTGCGCGGTTCAAAATGCAGCTCTCTGTCTTGGCTCCACCCAATCACAAGCGACAGATACCCCCGGATGGCCAATCACAGGCGGGTTTTTCTGGCTCTTCCCGGGCCCTACTCTCGCCTGGTGCTGAGTCCTCGAATCACCCGCAATGGCGGGAGCCGAGGCGCGTGTTGTCCATTTTTCCCCGTGCTCTGACTCTCCCTCTCTTCCGGAGTTCTCTTCTGGCCGTTGTCCTTAGCTGTCAACCCCGCCTGCTCGGAGCTGTGACAATGGCGTTGCCCAGGAAACCTTGCGCTTCCATGCCGCTGACGTCCAGGGAATAAAGTCTTGGGTGTGGCCTTGTGCACGCGCTTTGTGTGGACTGAGTACAGTGTCTGCCCTAAGTATCACCAGGGCTTTTGAATCTTTGCCAAGGGACAATGGGGAAGATTTTGCGACTTATCAATAACGCATGAGCTGATTTTGCTGGGGAGGGTCTTCGACTTTGTGTGATTCTTCTGCCAAAGTTTTGATTAATCACCAGGCCCTGTGGCCCTGCTTCCGAAATATTATACGTCCCAAATTCATCCACTTCTTTGTGTCTCTACTGCCATTACCCTGTTCCAGGCTCCTGCCATCTTTCACTGGGATACTGCCATAGCCCTGTAAATAGTCTCCCTGCCTGTCACCCCTGCACTACACACCAGTACCAATGATCTTTTGAAAACACAAATCTAAGGTTGTCACACTTTTCCTAAAGCTTTCCATGGCTCCCCACTGATCATGTGATAAAAGTCTAAAATTCTTGGCAAAGCCTTAAAAATCCCTCAATGGCTTGGGCTCTAACCTACTACTATTAGGTTGGTACAAAAGTAGTTGTGGTTTTTGCCATTAAACAGTTACCACTCTGGCCCTGACTCTTTAGGTTTCAGCCGCATTGGCCCCCTCATCATTCTCTTTCTAAAGCAGTGTGTTTAAACATGCTCAGCATGCTACTCTTTGTTTTGTGTCTCCTTAATTCCTCCTGCCCGTTTTTCAAATTGCAACTCAAGTGGGACTTCAGAGAAGCTTTTACTGACTCTGAAAATCAGGTCAAATCTTTGTCTACTTACATGTCTATCACTTCGTTTGCTAACCACAGCTTGGAATTGGAATTTTTATGTCATGATTCAACTGCCTCTCCCACTTGACTATAATGTCCTTGAAGGCAGAATTGTTTGTGTTTTGCCCTTTACTGAATCCCCAATACAGACCATTGAGCCTGGCATATAGTATTCAATAAATACTTGAATAAATAAATAAATGAATAGCGACTGTGAAAGGTAATAATAATCACTACCTGTGTTAAGGGCTTACTCTTATGCTAGACACTGTTCCAAATCCTTTCCACACTTACGCCTCTCCTTTTACTAGGATTGTGTTTATTTTCATTAAACATCACCAAGAAAAACAAATAGAAATCCTGTATTAACACTTGCTGCATATCTAAATGACATTCTGGCCAAATGCTATAGTTTATCTTGAAGTAGATGATTTTGCAATTAAGACAAGTTATCGCCGGGCGCGGTGGCTCAAGCCTGTAATCCCAGCACTTTGGGAGGCCGAGGCGGGTGGATCACGAGGTCAAGAGATCGAGACCATCCTGGTCAACACGGTGAAACCCCGTCTCTACTAAAAATACAAAAAATTAGCTGGGCATGGTGGCGCATGCCTGTAATCCCAGCTACTCAGGAGGCTGAGGCAGGAGAATTGCCTGAACCCAGGAGGCGGAGGTTGCGGTGAGCCGAGATCGCGCCATTGCACTCCAGCCTGGGTAACAAGAGCGAAACCCCGTCCCAAAAAAAAAAAAAAGACAAGTTATCACTCAAAGAAAACTAACTCCAATTCATTGTGTAATCCTCTGATAACAAATATGGTAAATAGGAGTTCCTGTAATTGGCAGATAGACAAGGGCAACGGTTTTCAAACTTTTATCTCAATAACTTTTCATACTCCTAAAAGCTATTGAAGATCCCAAAATTGCTTTTGTTCATGTGGATTTCAGCTCTCAATATTTACCATGTTGTAAATGAAAACAAATTTTAAAAATAGTTGCCAACTCATTTAAGACATCAACAGTAAAACCATTATGTGGTAACACATTTTCATGGGAAAAAAATATATTTCCCTGACATTATACTCACAAGAGAATGAAGTAAAAAGAGCAAATATTGCATTAGGATTATTATGAAAATAGTTTTAACCTAGCCAACTCTCTGAAAGTGTCAGTCCCCATACACACTTTGAGAACCACTGCACTAAGATTTAAATGGAAGAGGCAACTGTGTGCACAAACAAAAGCTGATAAAAGAGGCAAATAAATCAAGTTGTTAGAGGTGTGTGAACCAGACTGACTCCACCTTGAGTAGGGACTGGGTAAAGTAAGGCTGAAACATCCTGGGTTGCAGTCCCAGACAGTTAAAGCATTCTAAGTCACAGGATGAGATAGGAGGCTGGTACAAAATACATGTCATAAAACCTTTGCTGATAAAATAGGTTGCAATAAAGCAGCTGGCTAAAACCCACCAAAACCAAGATGGTGACGGGAATGACCTCTTGTCATCCTCACTGCTACACTGAACACCAGCACCACAACAGTTTATAGATGCCATCGCAAAGTCAGGAAGTTACCCTATAATGGTCTGAAAAGGGGAGGCATGAATAATCCACCCCTTGTTTAGCATATCATCAAGAACTAACCATAAAAATGGGCAACCAGCAGCCCTTGGGGCTACTCGGTCTATGGAGTAGTCATTCTTTTATTCCTTTACTTTCTTAATAAACTTGCTTTCACTTTACTCTATGGATTTGCCCTGAATTCTTTCTTGTGCCAGATCCAAGAACCCTCTCTTGGGGTCTGAATCCAGATTCCTTTCCTGTAACATCTTTCTGGCTACCCAGATGGGATTATAGTGCATAAGCCCCCAGTAAGTAAGTAGTGGGATCCTGTAATATCTTTCCGGTGACTACATAATGGACTATACTGTGAAAACCCCCGACCCAAAGGCTAACTTTGGGTAAGTGGTGGGGTCTGGTAACATCTTTCTGGTGATTTTTACTTTTAGTGAAGACCCTGGTTTGTAAGCAGGTGGACCCTACAGGGACGATACTGGGGAGACCCGTGACTCAAAGGAGGTAGACTGCAGCACTGATTGGACAATTTTGGGTAAGTGGTAGTATACCCAGATAAGGAATGGGATTGGGTTAGAGGCCCAACTAAGGAGGATTAGAGTCCCTTCTAAGATTTAGGGGGTCAAAAGCCCCTCTCAGTAAAGTCCCTTTCAGCTAAGAACAGGTTTGGCACTACGGGATGTTAACTTCTGTTCTCCTTGGAATAATCTGCCTTGTACTCCTTGCTGACAGCTGTGGGTGACAGGGTTAGGCATGTACAAGATCATTGCGATATGAGGAGCTTTTTCCTCCCATAAAGGGGAAACTCGAGACTGATGGGACTGCTGGAAAAGATCCCTTCACTATCAAGAAGCAGCCGACTGAACTTTTCGCTGTCACTGCAATGAGTGGGTCTTTCTCTGGCTTCCCTGAGCGCCTCCCCTTCCCCACCCTGCGTCAGACAATACTTTAGTCTGTCTCTCTCTGTGCAAACTGGTTGTAGGAATGGCAAAAATCGACTATTTCTTACAAAGTTTTGATTAATGGAAGAAAGGATTTGAGAGGCTAGTCTTAAGCTGTAGCCAATCTGGAGTGTTTCGTGTGCCATTCGGTATTGTTCTGTCATAAAGAAGGGTACCTTAGGATAGAACACGGGCTTAGGACACCTATAAGCCTGCTGTTCAAGATGGACTAGCAAACTGGTCAATTACAAACTTTGCTGCAAGTCCTCGGAAAAAAACTGGATGAGGTTTCCCTCTTGTCTGGTATGTCCTTGGGAGCTTGACCTTGTAACCATGTGGCTGTGCTTTCTCTTTCATAGTGGTGGCCTGGGTTCAGGGTTTAATTCTCATCTTAGGAGATGAGTCCTTTATCTTTTATCTGTATGAGTATTTATATGTATCATGTGTGTGATGTTTATATATAAAAGAGCTTTGATTAATTGGTTAAAAATAATAAGTCCTTAAGTCATATTTTTGTGAGAAAAATTAAATTATAATGCCTTTTATTTTGTTCATCTGACTTAAGTATTCTTTGGGAAATGACAGTTTTAAAGATTATTGGTAAAATTAAAATATCTTAAAAATTTAAACATTTGGTCAAAATTATGCAGGTCAGATACTAGGTTTGCCAAATGCTTTATGGTCATAAGCTGCTTCTTTTACTTTAGAAAATTGCTCAATTTACCTACTTTGACGACATTAGATTCTAGATAAGGCCTGGGGACATGGGGTGTTAACCATACCCACTAGCAATGCAGGAAAAAGTCAGACCTATCTGCATTTCTGTCTGTGTCCCTAGGCTCCATGCCCAGTACATAATTAAAATGCTTACAAGCCAGGGTCTTCACCAAAAGTAAAAAAAATCACTAAATGTTAACATTGTAACATGTAATTGAAATACTGAGGAAGAGTTCTACACATAAGGTGTGCAAGGAAAATGAAATGTGTTTTGATAAAAGATTATTAGAAGTCATGGAAATGTAAATTTTCTTTCTTCAATTAAATGGTTACATTATTATTTTGAGTTAGATAGAATGAAGCTGAAGGTTTAAGCAAGTTGTGGAAAGTTTGTGAAAAATTAATTGGAGGAGATTCTCTGTGTGAATATATGGGCTAAAGTTAAAGGGGTATTCAGTTTTTCTATAAATTAAACATTGGAATAAAAGCATAAGTTTTTTTAAGAGCAGAAACCAGCTATGATTTGCTCTTTAACAAAAATATTTAAAAATTAAAGAAAAAGAAAAAGAAAACCAAAAAATATGTAAAGGATTATAAAAGGTTTGTGAAAATCTTACTTTGTAGTCAAACTGATTAAGATTGCATACATTTGTCTATAAGGTTTTATAAAGAATTGGGTTTGTCATCAATAATGCACTAATGCAACAGTTACATTTGGCTTATTTGGTACAAAAATCATACTGGAAGCATTATCAAATGTAAAACAGTGTTTGGATTGCTTTGGGCTGTAATTGTATAAATGTGTTATTGGTAAGTATCCAAAATTATTTTTAAAAGTCTTATAATTCTGATATGACTTAGTGTACATTGTGAATAATTATAGTTACAAAGAATCATTACATGCCACAGAAGGAACCAAATTTCCTTATCAATTGTGACTTTAATAGTGGCTATCCTAAGACTTTTTGTCATCCACACACAATTGTTGTCTTGTTTTAATCCTCTTCAAAATGTGGTTTATAATCAACTATAGAACTCTAACAGATGTTCTTAAATGTAGGTTTCTGATAACTTTGGAAATTGTGACATTAAAATAAAGGAAAACAATTTCAAAACTCTCATGGAAAGCTGAAACGTTCATGAATATCAAGCAAAACAGGAGTTAACTGAATTAGCTGAACCAATAGAAGACTAAAGTAATCTTTTTAACTTTGCTTAAAATGCTGCTGATCCTTTGTTTTGTTTTTCAGAGTTAAGGAAATTATCTTTTGAGCTATTTGCAACTCGTGGCAATTGAGTAAAGTATATTGCTATGAATAACATTTGAAGCATATTTGTTTCTCTCTACCTAATTTCTCCAGAAATTATTTGTGAATATTCTTAATTTATGACACTATAGTTATTTCCGTAAGTGTAATAAGAATCTTTTCTTTTGCACCAGGATACAAGTGCAAACACTGGTTATTTTACCAACCGTTTGATTGGAATGGTGTGTTTTCTTTTAAGGAATCAAACTTGATTTATAAAGCCAATAAAAGCCTCTTAGAAAATTGGCCTCAGAACTTGTCTACAACAGTCCCTGTACAGGGTTTCTGACCTGTGGTAAGTAAAGAATGTCCTTCCTTACACGTCCAGGAGCCCCAGTTATCTTGGATGCCCAAAAGGAGGGGAATTTACTCACCTCATAGGTATGTGAGGGTACAAACTTATGGCCGGGCTTGGCTCTAAAAAGGTCTTATCTGAGATTCCTTCTGTGGAACAAAGTTCTATCAAAGCCAATTTTAAAACAGCTTATATAAAAAATAATTATTCTCATTGCACTTTATACAAATAATCAAGTATAATAAAGCAAATCAGTCTTACTATGATTTGTCTTTAGTAAAAATGGGAAACTGGAGAGAGAAATTATGTTTAAAAAAAAGTACAGTGGCTCACGCCTGTAATCCTAGCACTTTGGGAGGCCGAGGTGGGTGGATCACCTGAGGTCAGGAGTTCGAGACCAGCCTGGCCATCATGGTGAAACCCCATCTTAAAAAAAAATTAAAAAAAAAAAAAATGTACAGTACACTTATTAAATTCTAGTCTCATCAGTTGTTTTTAAGTTTGTTTCTGCAATTTAGGATAACCCTGTCAGGTCTCCATATGCAAGCCTGGAGCCCGAATGTCAAGTCTCATATGCAAGCCTGGAGCCTGAAAGCCTGAAGTCCTGCCTGCCCCCCAGCTGATGTATCCCACCCCCTGCCTGTGTTTGTCATTGGCCCATCGGAGCTTCCCCAACAAGCCCCTCACCCAACCCTGCCATCTTAAATGTTTTTATGATAATGTAAATACCTCTCACACAACCCTGCCATCTTAACTGTTCTTATGATAATGTAAATACCTCTCACCCAACCCTGCCATTGCAACTGAACTTGTGATCTTACTCTGTAACACCCCTGCCCCCCAAAAAACTACCCCAACCTATAAAGCCAATTCCCACCTTACCCCCTTCGCCTTTTCCTTTCTCGGATTCGGCCCGCTTGCACCCAAGTGAGAAATAAAACGGCCTTGTTGCCCACACAAATTCTGTTTGAAAGACCTCTTTATTAAATGCACTTAATATTTGGTACTATTGGACATGAATAACATTCGGTGCTGAAATCTGTGACAGGGGAATTCCCACAGGAGATTAGCCCCCTGTTCCAACTTTCATAAAGAGATCTATCTACTTGGGGTCATCAGACCAGCCCACAGAGACACACCACCGGATATTTTGGTAAGCAGTCTCTCTTCTTGCTTTCCCATCCTTTTGTCTTTTCCTTTCCACTTCCTCTGCCTTTCAGTTTCGTCCTTTTTCCACCGCAAAAACAAGGAAAATCAGGTAAACCAAGTTCTTCCGTGAGGTTCATGACCGGAAAATCCTACGTAGGTCACGGATCCAGGGACCCAGTTTCCCCAGGGGTTTGACTATCATGGAGATGTTCACCCTAGTCACTCACCCACCAGGATCATGGCCAATATTGGTGGCAGGTCAACGTAGAGGACGCTCTCTTTGACCACCCACCGATGAGTTTCAACCCAGGCTCAACTAGGGATGCCTTCTGGCCACCATCCTTCAACAAAACACCCGTGCTCTCCCTAGCGATCAGGTCCAGCTAATCTCTGATACCCCAACCCCCTCTGGAACAACAGCGTCTCTCCTTCCTGGGTGTGGTTGGCTACTTTCGCCTCTGGATACCGGGTTTTGCTATTCTAACTAAGCCATTGTATAAACTCACTAAAGGAAATTTATTTGACCCTATTGATTCTAAATCCTTTCCTCACTCCTTTCATTCCTTAAAGACAGCTCTAAAAATGGCCCCCACTCTAGCCCTCCCCAGTTTGTCTCAATCTTTTTCATTATATACTGCTGAAATCCAGGGGTATGCAGTTGGAGTTCTTACACAAGAGCCAGGTCTGCGCCCTGTTGCTTTCCTCTCTAGACAACTGGACCTCACTGTCCTAGGTTGGCCCCAACGTTTGCTGGCCGCCGCTCTAATTCTTCCGGAAGCTTTCAAAATCACAAGCTAAGCTTCACTTACTTTATACACTTCTCACAATCTCCAGGCTTTAATATCCTCTTCTCATCTTCCACATCTGTTATCCACCCCATGTCTAGTCCAACTCTATTTTCTCTTTATTGAAACTCCCACTGTGACTACTGCACATGGCCCCGATTTTAATCCAGCTTCTCACCTAATACCAAACATGAATGCTACTCCTGCACCACATAACTATATCTCCCAGTACATATTGTTGTTTCCCCTTTTCCCCAAATCTCTCTTTCCTCTATTCCAGACTCTGATCACACATGGTTTATTGATGGCAGCTCTTCCAAACCTAACCAGTCCTCTCCAGGAAAGGCTGGCTATGCTGTTGTTTCCCATACTTCTATCATTGAAGCTGCCACTCTCCCTCCATCTACTACTTCTCAACAGGCTGAATTAATAGCACTCACACGTGCTCTTACCCTGGCCAAAAGGCTCAGAGTACACATCTATACTGATTCCAAATATGCCTTCCACATCGTCCATTGCCATGCTGTCATATGGGCAGAAAGAGGTTTTCTCACTACACAAGGATCTTCCATTATCAATGCTTCTTTAATAAAGGCCCTCCTTAAAGCTGCCCTCCTCCCAGCTAAGGCCGGGGTTGTCCACTGTAAAGGGCACGAAAAACTTCAGATCCCATTGCTCAAGGAAATGCATTACCAGACAAGACAGTTAGGAAAGCAGCCAACACGCTGCTATCCCCACCTAGTGGACAGTATTTTTCTTTCTCATCAATTAACCCTCTTTATTCAACCTCAGAATCATTCAAGTATCAGACACTCCCCACTCAAGGTAATTGGTTTCTAGATCACAGAAAATTCCTTCTTCCTGCCTCGAAAGCTCATTCTATCCTCTCTTCCTTTCATAACCGCTTTCATGTAGGATATAAGCCTTTAGTCTGTCTCTGAGAACCTCTCATCTCTTTCCCCTCATGGAAGTCTGTCCTTAAAAAAATCACGTCACAGTGCTCCATCTGTCACTCTACCAACCTCCAGGGATTTCTAAGACCTCCACCTTTTCCTACCCATCAAGTGCGAGGATTTACTCCCTCACAAGACTGGCAAATTGACTTTACTCATATGCCCTGTGTCAAAAAATTTAAATATCTTCTTATATGGGTGGATACCTTCACAGGGTGGATTAAAGCCTTCCCTACTGGAACAGAAAAGGCTATTGCTGTTATTTCTTGCCTATTAAATGGTATCATCCCCAGGTTTGGCCTGCCTACTTCCATGCAATCAGATAATGGCCCTGCTTTCATTAGCCAAATCACCCAAGCAGTCTCTTAGGCCCTCAGCATTCAGTGGAATATCCATGCGCCTTACCACCCTCAGTAGTCAGGGAAAGTAGAAAAAGCTAATGGCCTTCTAAAAACACATCTTACTAAACTCACCCTTCAACTGAAAAAGGACTGGGTAGCTCTTCTGCCTATCGCTCTTCTCCAAATTCCTGCCACTCCCCGGGAACCCACCGGGTATAGCCCATTTGAACTTTTGTATGGCTGCACCTTTCTACTCGGGCCCAAACTTCTTTCAGACTCCAGCCCCCTTGGAGACTATCTTTCAGTTCTCCAACAAACAAGGCAGGAAATTCGCTGAGCTGCTAATCTCTTACCCACTCCAGATACCCAGCCGTATGAGGACATCTTAGCCGGATGATCAGTACTGGTCAAGGACTTAACCCATCCAGCTCTACAGTCTTAGTGGAAAAGTCCTTACCTGGTTGTCTACAGTACCCCAACTGCTGTCCGCCTGCAAGGCCCTCCCCACTGGGTTCATAGCTCCAGGATTAAACTGTGCCCACCAGACGACCAACTTAGCCCATCCACCTCCTCTTGGAAGTCACAAGTACTCTCCTCTACTTCCCTTAGGCTCACTCAAATCCCTGAAGAGCAATCCTAGACCCTAAATGCCCTGCACTTGTTTGCATTGTAGGTTCTCACTCTTGCTGTAAGCCCTCCTAGCTGACATCTCCTGGTTCTACCCAAGAGACGCCACCTTTAATTCCTTTCTAGAGTGGATAAATGACAATTTGTAGCAAGGAAGACTCCAATTCTTTCACCCTAATGAAGTTCTCTGTTTTACTCTCCTACTTACTCTTATTCTGAGTCCCATTCTGTCACTCTCTACCCCTTCCTAGTTGTCTTTTACATACTGTCAGTCTAACTCATTCCCTCCTCAATGATGCCAATCCATCGTTGGCAAGAGACTGCTGCCTTTGTATCTCCCTTTCTTTCTCCTCTTATACCGCCATTCCTGCCTTGCTGGCTGATTGGGCTACCTCTCCTGTCTCTTTACATCTGTGTACCTCTTTTGATAGTCCCTGCCTCTACCCTCCTACAGAGCTTCTTTACTTTTTAAACAAACTTAGCAGGACCTCTTCAGATGTTTCATACCAACAGGCTGCTTTGCTCCTCTGCACCTGTTTGCAGCAACGCTCACCTCATATCAACTCCACTCCGCCCATACTAGGACCCCTCACTACACAAACAACTATCCCCACTCCTGCCCCTCTACACATTTCCTGTCAACAAACCACTGGAATCCCCTTAGGTAACCTTCCACCTTCGAAATGCGCCTTTACCCTTCATCTCCAAAGCTACAACACACATATTAACATGCCTATAGGGGTAGAACTACTCCGCTTTACTGACAAACCTTCTATCACTACTAATAATCTCAAAAACATTAACAGTCATTATTGCTTAGGCAGACACCTTCCCTGTGTCTCACTTCATCCTTGGTTACCCTCTCCTTGTGCCGCCCCTCCTCCTCGTCCTTCATCATGCTTACTTATACTCACCCCTACAAATGTGAGTAGCAGGCTATTTGGTGACACCACACGCTTCCTCATACATTATGATATCAAACCACTTCCACTACCCAGCTGCCGCACCAATCTCCCCTTCAACCCCTAACAGCTGCTGTCCTTGCTGGATCTTTAGGAATTTGGGCATCTGAGTCCCCATTCAATACTACCTCTCACCTCTTCACCCTGCATTTTCAATTCTGCCTTGCCCCAGGCCTTTTCTTCCTATGTGGCTTCTCTACCTATATGTGTTTTTCTACTAACTGGACAGGCACCTGTACTTTAGTCTTCCTTATTCCTAAAATCCAATTTGCCAATGGTAAGGAAAACTGCCTGTCCCCCTAATGACACCTATCTGACAAAAAGAGCTATACAACTAATTCCATTGCTCATAGGAATAGGGCTTGCAGCCTCCACAGTAGGCCTTGGAACTGGCATAGCAGGGGTCACCACCTCTGTCACAACATTTGCAATCTGTCTACTGATTTCTCTGCCAGCATTACAGATATAAACTAGGGAATTGGACAGATGGTGAGTGGCCACCGGAGAGAATTATTGAGTACCATGAGCCGGCCACATGGGCTGAAGATGGCTCATGGGGATACCGGACCCCTATTTACATGCTCAACCGGATCATCCGGTTGCAGGCTGTTTTGGAAATACTCACTAATGAAATGGGCAAAGCTCTGTCCCTCTTGATCCAACAAGAAACTCAAATGAGAAACGCGATTTATCAGAACCGGCTGGCCCTAGATTATTTGCTAGCAGCTGAGGGGGGAGTCTGTGGAAAATTCAATCTAACCAACTGCCGTCTGCACATAGATGACCAGGGGCAAGCAGTGGAGGATATTGTGCGAGACATGACCAAAGTGGCACACGTGCCTGTGCAGGTGTGGCACGGATTTAACCCTGAGTCCTTATTTGGAGGTTGGTTCTCATCCTTGGGAGGATTCAAAACCCTCATCATAAGCGTTATAATAATAATAGGTGTTTGTTCACTGCTCCCTTGTCTACTGCCCCTGTTCCTTCAGATGATTAGAGGATTCATCACTACTGTAGTTAGCCAAAAAATGACATCAGGGTCTCAAAGTGGGGGTGAAGAGGGAGACCAATGCAACTCAGATCAACTTCCCCTTTTCATTCCTAAGACTGTAAACTTCCCCTTTTCATACCTAAGACTATAAACTTTCCCTTTTCACTCCTAAGACTGTAAACCGAAGCCCTTTTCATATGTAATCCCTAAGACTGTAAACTGAAACCCTTTTCATGTAATTCCTAAGACTGTAAACTGAGACCCTTTTCATATGTTAAGCTATAAACCTAAGATTCTTCCACGTGTAACATCTAAAGTATAAGCCTATATAAAGAAGGAACCTTCCTTTGTTAGGGGAGCTTGGCTGTTAGGCAACTGTGTCACCTTGCTCCCAGCCGAATAAACTCCTGAATGTAATTATTGTTTTCATTTCCTTTGCGGTTGGTTTTGTGTTTATTTTTGTATTTTTATTTTCCTGCTTTATCACACTGGCTGGAACCTTCGGTCCAAAGTTAAATAGAAGTGGTGAGAGTGTACATCCTTGTCTTGTACCCAATCTTAGGAAGAAAGCATTCAGTCATTTACCTTTAAGCATGTTGTTAGTCATAGGTTTATGTAGCTGCCTTTTGTCAAAGTAAGAAAGTTTTCTTCTATTCCTAGTTTGTTAAGAATTTTACTAGGGCCCGGGCGCGGTGGCTCAAGCCTGTAATCCCAGCACTTTGGGAGGCCGAGGGGGGTGGATCATGAGGTCAACAGATCGAGACCATCCTGGTCAACATGGTGAAACCCCGTCTCTACTAAAACTACAAAAAATTAGCTGGGCATGGTGGCGTGTGCCTGTAATCCCAGCTACTCAGGAGGCTGAGGCAGGAGAATTGCCTGAACCCAGGAGGCGGCAGTGAGCCAAGATTGTGCCACTCAAGCCTAGGCAAGAGAGAGACTCGGTCTCAAAAAAAAAAAAAAATGTCATGCCAGATTTGGCTCAGGGGCTATAGTTTGCTGACTACTGGTTTATTCGATTAATATATGCATTACAGTAATTGATATTTAGATGTTAAGCTAAAGAACATTCCTGTAATAAACTGACCACACTTGGTAATAGTATATAATTCTTTTGTACATTACTGGATTTAATTTGTTGTTATTTAAGCAATTTTAGCATTTACATTCATGAGGAGTGCTGTTCCATAGTTTTTTTGTGATATCTTTGTCTGTGGCTTTTAGTGTCGGGTAAAATGAGCTGTAAAGTGTCCCCTTCTCTTCTATTTTTGAAAAGATTTCTAGTCGATTGGTATTATTAATTATTTAAATGTTAATAGAGTTCCCAATAAAACCATCTATGCCTGGACTTTCTTTTGAAGAAGATTTTAAAATAATTTAATTAAATATTTTAATGTTTTTCACTGATTTATATCTACACAAATTTTATAATTTCTTTTTGAGTCTACTTTGATCATTTCTGTTTATGAATTTGCCCATTTCATCTAAGTTGACAAATTGTTGGCATAGTAGTTCAAAATATTCCTTTATAAGCCTTTTAATTTTTGTAGGGTTCAGAATGCTTTCTCTTTTATTCCCAATTTTGGTAATTTCTGTCTTCTCTCTTTTTTTCTTGGTTATTTGGCTAAAATATTATCAATTTCATAGATCTTTTCAAGAAATCAACTATAAGTTTCACTGTTTCCTCTGTTGTTTTGCTGTTTCCTTTTTATTGATTTCTGTTGTGGTCTTTAGTCCTTCATTCTAGTTTGGCTCTTCTTTTTGTAGCTTCTTAAGGTGGAGGCTTAATTAATTTTTCTAGGTTATTAAAGTCTTCCTTTCTAGTTTTTAAAGTTATAAATTTCCCTCTAAATATAGCTTTACCTGCATTAATTTTTGATATGTTCTGATTTTATATTCATTCAGTAGAAGATATTTTATAATTTCCCTGGTGATGTTTTCTTTGACCTGTAAACCAAAAATGACATTCAAAAGCCTCCTGCACAACCATCTGAATGGACTTTCTCCTCAGCCAGAGCACTCTAAAATTTAACCTGAAAGACTGGTTCAGGCCATGAAAGGAAGTAGGGGTTGGACATTCCTCACTATACTCCTCCTGCATCAACATTAATACAAGCCTTATGTCTGATAAGAAATATTTATAATCTTCTCTCTAATGCCTGCTGGAGGCTTTATCTGCATGATAAAACCTAGGTCTTCACAACCCTTTATCATAACCCAGACATTCCTCTCCACTGATAATAACTTTTTCAATCAATTGCCATCAGAATATGTTTAAAGAAGAAATACTGGCATACCCAAATATAATTACTGAATAGTCTTTGTTTCTTTTTTTCTTTTTTTTTTTTTTTTGATTCTGTCAGTTTTCCCTCCATATAGTTTGGGGCTCTGTAGTTAGGTGCAATTATATTTATAATGCTGTATCTTTTTTATTAACTAACCCATTTATCATTATGAAATGTTCTTCTCAGCCTCTAGAATAGTTCTTGTATTAAAATATATTTAAATATAGTATCTCCAGATCTCTTATGGTTACTGTTTGCGTCATATATCTTTTACCATTATATTACTTTATATCTCTTGTATTTTAAATATAAAGTTGTTTCTATGGATAAAAATAAACTCTTAATCTTATGTTACTATTTCTGGCTATGAGTGGAGTTTCTAGTCCAGTAAAATTTAGCACAAAAAATTATTGGTATACTTAGATTTATGTTTGTCATTTTAGAACTTGTTTTCTGTATGTTTCTTCCTATGTTCCTCTTATCTTACTTTTCTTTGATTATACAAACATATCTTAGCTTGCCATTTCGCTTCCTGTGTTAGTTTTTCTAAGCAAGTTTTTGAGGTTCAGTGTGTGCCTGTGTGTTTGCAGGCACCCTTAAGCCTTCACAGTCCTTCAGGTTGATACTGACTTAATTCTGGTCAAATATAGTTACATTTCACCAGTAGGTCTCCATTTCCTTTTCCTCCGTTTATGCTATTATTGACATATATATGGTGCCTACACATATTATAAACCAAATAATACAGTAATACATTTATTGCTTTAAATAGATTATTTAGAGAAATTAAGAGAAAATTTATATCATTTTTTAAAATTTAAAAGATTTGAACTCTGTACAATATTTGAAGAGATTTATTCTGAGCCAAATATGAGTGACAATGGCCTATGACACAGCCCTCAGGAGGTCTTGAGAACGTGTGCCCAAGGTGGTTGGGGCACAGCTTGTTTTTATACATTTTAGGAAGGCATGAGACATCAATCAAATACATTTAAGAAATACATTGGTTTGGTCCAGAAAGGTGGGACAACTCAAAGTGGGGGCTTCCAGGTCATAGGTAAATTTAAGCATTTTCTGATTGACAATGGGTTGAGTTTATATAAGGACCTGGGGTTATAAAGGAAATGTTCAGGTTAAGATAAAAGACCAAGGTTCTTTTGAAGTCTTATGGTGGCTGCCCTTAGAGACAATAGAAGACATATGTTTCCTCTTCAGATCTTTAAAAGGTGCTAGACTTTTAGTTAATCTCTTTAGGATTGGGAGAAAAAAATCTAGCTTTGTTAATAGAGATTCTTTACAAATGCAGCTTTTCCCCCACAAAGGACAATTTGCAGGGCCATTTCAAGATATGGCAAAGAAACATGTTTTGAGGTAAAATACTTTGATTTTCTTCCTAGTCTTAGAAAGTTATACCAGAGCCAGGTTTGAAAGTAAGTCACAATGTATAGGGTTAAATAAAACCCATCTGATGAGAATTTATGATTTGTAGGGCATGACTCCTCAGACCCCTTAGACAGGAATTTGGACAAGATTAAAACATCAGAATTTAGCCCTCATTAGCCACAAATTTACCATTTCCCTCATAGTTCTTTCCTTCCTGCATATCCAAGTTATTGTCCAATGTCATTTCTTTAATATTTCTTGGAAGACAGGTTTCCTAGCAGCAAATAATTTCAGTTTTTGTTTATCTGCAAATATCTTTATTTTACCTTCATTATTGAAAGGTTAGCTAACTGGATATGGAACTCATGGTTGACTTGTTTTTCTTTTTTCTTTTGGGATGTTGAATATGTTACTCCACTCTGCCCTTTTCTGAGGAAACCTCAACCATAATTATATTCTTTTTTCCTGTATACATGATGAGTCATTTTTATCTTACAGCCTTCAGAATTTTCTCTTTGTTTTTGGCTTTTATCAGTTTCGTTATGATGTGTGTAGGTGTAAATCTCATTATGTTTATTCTACTAGGAGTTTGTTGAGGTTCTTGGATTTGTAAATTGTTCTTTAGCTTGTTTTGCTTTATGTTTTATGGTGTGTGTGTGTGTGTGAGAGAGAGAGAGAGAGAGAGAGAAGGTCTTGCTCTGTTGCTCAGGCTGGAGTTCAGTTGCATAATTACATCTTGCTGCAGGCTTCACCTCCTGGGCTCAGTCGATCTTCCCACCTCGGCCTCCTGAGCAGCTGGGACCACAAGCACACATCACCATTTTTTGTAGAGACAGGTTATCCCTATGTTGTCCAGGCTGGTCTTGAACTCCTGGGCTCAAGCAGTCTCCCCACTTCAGCCTCCCAAAGTGCTGGAATTACAGGCTGAGACACCATGCCTAGCCACTTTGTGGTTTTCAAATCACATTTGGAATGTTTTCAACCATTATTTCTTCAAAATTTTTTTTCTACCTATTTTCTTTCACTTCTTATGGGACTCCTATTAACATGTGTTGGAATCCTTGTCTTTGCAAGTCTTTGATGCTCTGTTCATTTTTCTTTGATCCCTTTTTCCTCTGATCTTTGAATTGGATAGTTTCTACTGGTTGAACTTTAAGCTTGCTGATTCTCCCACAATCTCAATTCTGCCACTGAACTTATCTAGTGAAATTTTCATTTCAATTGTTATACTTTTCAACTCTCTAATTTCATCTTTGAATATTTCTACTTATTAAGATTTGGTATTTTTTATCGTTTATTGTTATATTTTCTTTAATTCTTTGCATATTTATAATCATTTCTTAAAGTTTTTGCATTCTAAATCCAACATCTGGGACCCAGTCAGAATAAATTTCTGTTCATAGAAGGCTCTATCTTTTAATTTTATCACGAGCTTGATAGATTTTTGCTCTCTTCTCTCATACCTCATTGAAGGGCATCAATAATAAATGTTGAATAACATAAGGTATAAATTTCAGTAATTGCTTCCTTGGTGACCTATACAAGGTATAGCAGGCGATGTTATTAATTTGTTTCTGTAGTTAAGATGGAAACCTACCTGCATTCATCATTTTCATCAGATTCTTTGTAGTGGGTTGAG